AGGGACCTTTGTTTGACGGCGCCATTTTCCTTTGAACATACGGCGTCGATGGTCAGACTTTACTTCGTACACTGACCATTGGGAGGATCGGCGAAGGCCAAGAACTTGATCGTAACGATGGAGAAGCACCTGCAGTGCCTGGTGGAAGCGTTCCGTAGGAATAGACGTGAAGAAGCCGGACAAGTCTTGAGACACCAGGTGGATGTATTCGTCGGGATCAGCCTTTGACAGTGACTCCCACAGCTGCTGGACAAGTTCTTGTACTGAAAGTTGTCCTGCAATGTCGGGAAAAGTAACTTTGGTAAGTTCAAATATGAGGGCGCCGAAGACCGTGAGGAAAGGAGCTGCCCACGTGCGAAAGAATGAAATGATGGGTCGTGCTTTCTGCCAATCCTTGGTCGGCTTTGGAAGGATGCGAGCTGTGGGCAATGGTGCTTGAAGTCGAAGTCCCCATGCATATCGTTGAAGTAGGAGGGAGGGTACCGTAGTGACCACTTCAGAGCGAAAAGATGCTGCGGATTCACGACATAGCGAAAAGACAACTCCCGTGCAAAAGGTCTTACGCATCAGTATGGCAAACAATGAAGGACAAACCACATGTGCACGAGAAGGGAAATGATCGGCGGGGATTACAACCCACGAGGACAGTGAAGCCACGGTGCGCTGCAGTGATGACGATGACCAATAAGCACGATCTTGAAGGTTGGATCGATGGGTGTCCATCAACTGAGTCAAAACCGGCTGTAGGTCAGCAAGAAGACTGGACCCATGTACATGCCACCGACGAGCTAGTTTGCGAAGTTGCGTAGTGAAACGCCGATGCAACAAGTCAACATCACCGAAATACTGATCCTTCATAGACGCGGCCATGATCTCCATGTCAATGTCCGCATTGATGCGTGAGAACTCATATACCATTACAGCATGTTCATGTGCACGGTGTAGGTGGTGATCATCAATGTCCAAACAGCGACACGGAAAAGATGTCTCAGGAGTCCATCTGCGTTGCCATGTGCGGTAGTTGCAGATCCTGTCGCCCAACGTGGCGCTGCGGGTTTCCACCACTCGGATCTTTGGAAGGAATAGGGAGGGAAACAGGTCACGATGAGAAGCAATCCAGCTTTGTAACCATGTGCCAAGTTGAGCTTTCCAATTCCGGACATGTAGAGGCGGTAGAAGTAGTTGTGTCAAAGTGCTGGGTGACCGTAGCTGGCGTTTGCGCAACACCTGGGCGAGGAGTTTCTGTGCCTTGGAGCGAAAGGGCTCGTTGACAAAGACAGAGAGTCGCAGAAAGTAGTAAAGCTGAGTGGGAGGAAAAGCCGCCGACAGTAGGTCACGCATGGCTTGGAACGATGCGCCTGTATTGGATCCCAGCTGATAGAGAATCGAGTAATGTGCTTGAATGTCATCCAACATGTCTGGTCGTAATTGCCGTTGAAGATCCGGATGTAGTCGTCGACGAAAGCGCTTGTGTAAACCGAGGGAGGTGGGAGACGACAACGAATGACGTCGAAAATCAATGAGATGCTCCCGGAAGCCCACCTTTCGTAGAAGTCTATGTACCCAGGGCGCATTCAATTGCGGACGTAGCAGGTATTGCCATTTGCTTTCTTGGACCCAAACCGAGGAAACGGGAAGTTTAATCTCAACCGGAACTGCACAGAAAAGCCAGTAAGTATTGGAGCGCTTCCAGTAGTGAAGCGCGGGTTCGAAGAAGGCATGACGTCCCCGGAGTAGTTGTAGAAATTTGCGACTGCGTGAGTGTTCACGTCGTAGAACGTCCTGATCAGTCGCACCAACGTAGTAAGGCGTGTGCCATGGAGAAAGTCGGATGTAGACGCACGGTTGTTGGTGATGACCTGGATCGTGAATGAAGTCATAGAGGTCCGGAAACCGTGTCCGCAATGAGCGAAGATGTCTCGTGTCTGCGAAAGTGGAGTGCATAATTTCACACAAGAGAGATGTCTTGTAGAAGTGAAGAACTTCAAAGAACGGTGGGAAGTAGCCGTGATCTTGAGAGATGAGACGTTGCAAGAAACTGATCAATAAATAGGCGGTGCACCGACATCTGTGGAGCTCATACCTGTTGGCCACAGTATGTTGAGAATGCGACATAGCGTGATTCGGAATCTGAAGGGCAATCCGGACCACAACTAAGACCTCCAGAATGAGGCCCAACCACGGTAGTTGCGTGATTGATGCATACTCATCGGCTGGTATCGACGGTAGTGGTAGTCCAGGGAAGCAGTATTGCCAGCACGTAGAGAACATGGTCAACGAGTGTAGAAAGTTGTCCAGAGACTGCCATTGTGCAACACCATCATAGATTCCACAGCGGCGAAGCTCAGCCAACATGGTGAACATGCAACCAATGAAATCTACCGTGAGGCGGCGACATGAATACAAGCTGCACAGAACATCACGCGCAAGACAATGCAAGCACAGTCAAGCACAAGATCAAACTAATGCAAAGCAAGAAGATGCCGGACGAGTTTTAAACCTCGACTCCTTCGTGACACGGCTGCCGCTCCGGGCTCATAAGTGAACGAAGTTCGTCAAGGTGCCTGCTCATCCGCTGAGTAGGCGAGCGGTCACGATGAGGTGACTCAGCGACTTCTCAGTGAGCTTGGTGAGATAGCCGGGCTCCAGTCCCCACGAAGCCGCCATCGCCCCGAGAGTGGGTGCGTCGCCTTTTGGCATGTGTTGACGCGCCTGGAGGAGTTGCGTCGCCATGGAATCCAATGACTTGTTGCCGTTGAGCCGGGACGGGTGATTGGCCCACTTGACCAGTGACGTCAAAGTTGTGGTTGTGGGCGATTGCTTGAGAAACAAGCGTGGCTGGTCACTGGTCCATGTGTAGTACTTGACAACTTCTTCCGGCGTGCTGTGCATGGTGAGCAATTGAGAGGCCGCCGGCTTGGACGGTGGCGAAGAAACTCCGTGAAGAGACTGAATGATCCGGGGCTGCACCGCGCTATCAAACGACTTGCCATCAAGGGCCGCTGCGCTGGCCGTAGGGAGGGAGCTGGCAGGCGACGAGGATTGTGTGTGGTTGACCGGTGGCGGTGTGACCAATTCTGCATCATCTTTCTGGCTTGCCACCGTGGGGGAGGTCGAAGCGCGAAGCGATGCTGAATACTGAGCCTGGAGCAGTTCATGAGCACGATTTAGATCATTGTACTTCTTGACCATGTCATCTGTCTGGGTGGGAGGCGTGAGAGAGGCGTGGTGTTGTTGAAGAAATTGAAGTACCAAGTTGGCCAAATGGTCATGAACCTTGATCCGCTGATTGAAGTCATCGAGGTTGAGTCCCAGCGAATTGGCAAGGTCCTTTTCCAGGGTGAGCAGGTTGATCGACTGCGATCGCCGTAATAGTTTGGAACAGGCACTCCAAAGCAAGGCCTCAGTGCGAGTGCGAAAGCCTTCCCACGTCACGAATCTGCCGTGAGCAAACGGTCGGAGTAGCCAGTTGGTGAGGCCCCCATGAATAACCTGAATCAGGCGAACGTCACGAATGTCCATGCCTGACATGTCGCGTTGGGGCTGAAGTTGTAGAGCTGATTGACATCTAACATGCCATCTCCAGGTGTCCAGTCAGGTGATGGTGTAAGCCAGGCTTTCTGAGGACGAACCGGTAGAGCAGCAGGAGGTCCAGGTGGCGGTAAAGGTTGAGAGGTAGTGACCGGTGGTGATATCACGGACGGCATGAACTTCGTTGACGTGGGCTCTGGAGGAATCGGCATCATGTAGTTGATCGATGGATGTTGGAACTGCTGCGTGGGACTAGGGATCGATTGAAAATTGGTGGACATCATCGGGAAATTGTTGGCGGAGTTGTAGCCAGAATTGTGTTGCCAAGATACCAGGTTGTTCCAATCCATGCCCTCCGAGACGTGATGGTCATTGTGTTCACGCCGGTGTGCTTTGCGAGCTTGGGGAGAAGTACTCCGGTCGCATCTGCGCCGAGTCCTGGATCTATCACGATCATCACGTCGAGACATGGTGACGCAACCGACTCTGAATCTTCACACTTCCACCTTGAGAGAAACGGATCCGACAACATGCAAATCAATGCAAATGCAAGTCAACGGCCCCCAGCTGCGCTGGTCGATGAAATGGATCCGACAAAAGGTAAGCCGACATTTACAAGGCAAAGCAAATACAAGTCAGCAATCTTCAACCGCTATGATACGAGCAACAAGTTCAACCAATGGTAAGCCAATGCAACGAAAGTCGGCAGCCAGCAGCTGAGGTGAGACGTCACTATGGTCTGATCGCTGTCTTCCCTTTAGTGAAACCTCGTTCCTGGTTAAATGTGAAATTCCGCTGTTCTATGATAAGCACGTTGGTACACACTTGAACTCCAAATGGAGAGTGCGAATCGTTCGAGTACAACTGATGAGTCTCGAGTACAACTGATGAGTCTCGAGTACAACTGATGAGTTTCGAGTAAGATCGACTTGCAGTCACTTGGCTTCCGTCTAGCAGCGAACACGTTACCCGAAAGAACAAGAAGCACAAACAGCGCCGCAACCAAGGGGCCAAAAGGACATTCAGAATCACTTGCAGGTACAGGAGTTTGCGTCCAAACTCCCTTCCGGCTCATTCTCACAGCTTCGTTGGCACGGCTAGAGAATGAGCTGCCGTGCCCCCTGCCTCCGAAAACGACCCAAGGTGGTGACAGGGTATTCTGTCACTCCGCACACACACACAAATTGACTGCTCCTCTCTCACGTTCCCTGTGTCCGGCGCGTGGGACTCCCGCAAACCAAATACGGGCATCTTTGAACCTTCACATCCTTCGGGAAACAATTTGAACATTCACGGTGGCCAACATCACCTGACTTGGCCAACAAGCAGCACCAAAAAAGTGTTCACTTTTGGAGTCACCACTATTCCAAAGGGGCAGCAACCAAGCAAACAAGTGTAAAGTGTGTTCACTGGCTGAGCCTTTACTTTTCCCTCAGAGTTCCACTCAGCCCACATGCGTGCCAGGCGGCACGTGATATGGCTGCCTGGGCCGCGCTCTCTTCCGTTTTTTTCGGGGGTTGGCCGCGTGGCCCTCTCACGGTTCCATTGAGGCTGTGGGGGACCTGAACATGCCCTGATCAAGTCAGAAAAGAAAGCAGCCATCTGTCTGTAGAAATGAGCAACCTAATTCAGGGGCTCCCCTCAAAACATCACCCCCGTAAAGGGAAGCTCATCTTAAATGTGCCAAAACGGTGATGTTTAAAACCACAAAGAAGGGAACTATAGGGACCCCTGTAATTGACCGGTTGGGATGATTGCAGCACGGGTCGCATGGCTGGTCCATTGAACCCATCCCGCCGGCTCGGAGGAACATCCATAATCACCTCATAGCCCTCTCCTTGGCGACGGAAAAGGGATAAGCCGGCGTGAAAAGTTGGGTGCCAAAAATGACAGCCACACACTCCAAGGGGTCTGGAAAACTTCGAAAACATATTAATATCAATCCTCTGTTTCCTTCTGGGAACTCAAAAAGACGGAAGATTCAAAAAGGCAAACAGAATAAAGCCTACTTTTGCTTTGTGCCTTGATTTTATTTATTTATTTATTTTTTTGGGGGGGGGACATGTTGAGGTGTCTCAAAATACGGGGCTTGGAATAAACCACAGGTTTTTCTGTTGTTTCCCTTGAAGCCAACCTTACAAAGGATCCCCCCCCAAAAAAAAGAAGAAACACGCAGAACGGGAAAAGAAAGGACACTTGAGCAGCGTCCACCACCAACTCACTTTTGGTTCCAAAAAGATAGTTATCAAGGCTTCCAGGCCCCTACTGTGGGTGGACCAAATCCTGCACCACTTGAAACCATGGAAACGCCGCTGTTTGTTGGTATTTACAGGGGGGGATCATCATTCCAGGGGCCTCTTAGACGGTGCAGGAATTCGTCCATCGACAGTACGAAAAGTGGGCGATAGGGTTGTGGTTGCTCAATTTGGAGCAGGACTGCTTTCATCCAAGTCTCCGATGGGGCCGTCCGTCGGCAGGTGGATCTGCCAATGAACCACGTGTTTCGAGTATTTTTTTGGTTCTGAAGCCAGAAAGATAGGGAAAGAACAAAGAACACCCTGCTACGAGTAGGGGGGTCCTAATGATAAGCCGGGAAACATGACCAAACACCATTGGGCAACTAGGGCATTGGCAGGGCTCAGAAGAACTGTGTGCACGTAGCTTCGATGTTTGCTATCCTCTTCACAGTATTGCCGTTTGCGTTTTGGTGCTGCAAAATTGAAATCCTGCGTCCATGGCACAAGGTGGGAGTCCATGTGACCTCTCGAGTTCTGGCAGGGCAGTTATGCACTCTGAAACTGGGGGAGGGGACCCCTTGGACCCTGGCTTCATGTTGGTCCACAGGGATCCAACAACTTCCATGTTGACTGGGCGGTGCCTAAAAGAAAGAGTAATACGGTTACCCATCATTAGCATCTCCCTCCCAAGTCATTTCAAGAATTGACAAAGTGATTTTAACTGCATTGAAGCAGTCATCAACACTCCACGATTGCCTTCTTGCGAAGTTTCCTGGGAGGACCTTCAGCGAGCCTGTGACGCTTGCTTGAAACCTCTGTGAAAGGGTCGTGACCATCCCAAAGGAAACACATGATATGCGATCTGGCAGGCATGGCTGGGTGCTGAAGGCAGGAACGGCAAGTTGCAAAAGCGCAACATCAGTGTCTAAACAAACAGCTCTGTCCCGTGCTGAGTTTGTGGTTGTCTACACCCGGCGCGAAGCCAGGGTTCGCCTTTATGAGCAAGGGCTTGCGCACTTTTGGGGCGAAGGCCCCGCTTCCCTACCTAAGGGTACGCAACACACTTAAACCAGTCAGTAGGTCCTTGCTGGAGGAAACAGGCCGATCAAGAACCTGGCACTTATGTTTGGTGTTCAATGTGTATTAGACTTTATTGCATGTCTATGCAAGTGCAGTCCTGCAGGCCTGCTTTACCCGGATTCCGGACAGCCCTAGCTCCCATTCCGGGCGACAGTGTGCTGACTTCGGTCTACGCACACGAGTCAACATGCTGCTTTCATGCTGTTCTTGGGCGTGTTTTCCTGATTGGGTGGGTAGCAGCCAAATGTAATGGGCAACTGCCAAACAAGCACAAACATCTAAGAACGTACAAGTTGCATTTTCGGGCCCAGCTTGTCAATCCACCTGTGACCTTGTTGGAGAGTCGCCCTCACCTCATTGTAGGCAAACGCCTTTTCCAACCCCCGACGCCCATTCACAACCCACTCAAACTCCTGTCGCCTGAAACCCGAAAATCCTCCGAAACCTCAAGCCCCTAGCTCCCAACCAACCCTCAAGCAACGAAAGCCTCCGTTCAAGCCCCTAAACCCCCTACCACAACGCCCCAAAATCCGCTTGAAGCCCAGTTGCTCCCTCCAACCCCGTTCAGCAGGCCACAAACGGCTTCCCATCCACCGGCCTCCGGCGGTTGTGGGGCCTCCGGCTGCTCGGGCGGCTCATCCGGCAGGTCCTCTACCTTCTGCGCTAGCAGGTCCTCAGCCGAAATCGAGCCCGGAGCTTTGCTTGGGGCAAATCAGCGTCCTTCTGATAGGTGGTTTGAATGGTGAGGTTGGGGGTGGCTTCCCATTTGTCCTATACAGGAACCACGAGTTCAGTTCCCCAAATCAACAATCCAAGCCACCAATTCGGGGTAAGGCACATCTGCAGGGAAACGACAGAAGGACAAACTCGGCAGCCTTGCCCGTGCCACTTTGCTTGAGGGCTCAGCCTGTTGAAACTGCTGGATGCCTCATTCCCCTTGACAGCGCACGTGCAAACCCAGACGAAAATGTACAGGTATAGGAAACCAAAATATCTAAAGCAACCCACCGCAAGAGCACCAGGGCCCATGGCCTCCCCGAAAACTCGCCGGCTACGGCGGTTCAAACTGCCACCAAGGCTGGGTGGTAGAAGCATGGAAGCATGATCTACCCATCTTAGGGGTACATCAAAATGCACACGCAGCACCCAGCACCTGACCCTTAACAAATTTGGAGGCTTGAAGTCATTGGTGGATGATCAGGAAGGCAGAGATGCACTCCGAGTGTTGCGGAAAATACCCCCGATCACTAAGCCAATTAAATATACTTCACCCAGGATGAAGTCCAGAAACTTGGGAAGTGCGGAATCGTGAAGCTCGAAAGCAAGCGTCCCAGCCCCAGTGCCAAGGGGCCAAACCCAGCTCTGCATGGACCCAACCACAAAGGATCATGGACAAGCAGGGCACGCATAGGCCAGCTATGCCCCAAACCCACCTTAAGCCCCCTGCGACGCTTTTAGGGCTATCCCGGCAAGGCGCATTGATTCCGTCTCCGTAGAAGCCTTAGCTCTTCCATTCTGCCTGCCTGCCTGGACTGCCTAGTTTCCTAACATTGAGTCTACCGCCTGCTCTGGCAGAGTAAATCTCATGGGGGCTGGGGGCGAGGGAGGGAGGGGGAGGGAGCCCAAATAAGCCCTAAATAAGGCTTATTAAGGGCTGCTTATTTGAGATCCCTCCCCCCCTCCCTCCCCCCCAGTCCCCATGACAATCTATGTCTACAGGTTTTCCTTTCTGGGCTGCCTTCCTGCACCATTTCTTCCAAGGGGCTGACAGCATGACTTCCCCGACCAAGCGGCGCCTGAGTTCAAAGGTATCGGCGAATCTCTGATTCACTGTCCTTGGCATGCTTCTGCTTTTGAGGCGAAAATGGTTGTTTTCAAAAAACGGGTGCCCTCACAAAAAGACGCACCCCTTTGGGTTCGGCTCATTTCTTGGAGCTGAAAAGAACACGTTCGTTGCCATGGCGGGAAGTCTGTGCAACATGGCGCCGGATCCTTTTTGGGGGTGCCCGCCCCAGGTTGTTTCGTTTGCATTTTGGCTTCCCTTCAATTGAAAGCGCCCCTCACTACCCACATCAACTTTTCAGCCCACAGCCTCTGTCACAACATGCGAGACACTTCGAGGGCCCTCCACGTTTCTCTGGTTGAAATTGAGTGACTCATCCAACAAGAACACATGCTATTTTTGAAAACGCATGTTGCATGTAGACCTGACCCAACCATGGTGAAAATGTTCAATCCCAAACTTAGGATCCAGATCGTTTACGACATCACCAGTTTAGTACATGGCGGACATATGCGATTTGTTCCAAGCCTTGATCCAGAAAAAGGCTATTTCTTCAAGGTGCGGATTCGGATTCAAGGCGAGCGTCGCCGGGTTCGATCGCCCATGGGCCCAAGCCACGCAGGATGCCCATCGGAAGGCGGGCGCAGTGTTGCAGTCCAGTTTGAGTTGGTGTTCCGCCCCTGCGATTAGCAACTGCGGTCTTTTCCGCGCGGCGATTAGCAGCTTTGGAGTCGGCCAGAGTCTGGCCTGAAGTGTTTCGGAGGTCCGGGCTGGGGTTGTGGAAGGGTTCACCAAGTGCTGTTGGGGATGCCACCTGGGCTTGCTTGCCCAGCTAGCAAGGAGCCAGCCATGTTCCCAAAATGTTGAAGGTCTCGAAAGAGCAAGCTGCCTGGGTGCAAATAAGCAAGTCTCAAATCAAGAGCCGATGTATCTCCTTCGGGACCGCGGGGAATTGATCAAATTGGTGTCCATCACATTGAGTGTCTCCGTTGGTTTGCCTCCTTTGTAGCCTTTGGTAGCAAATGCAATTGCAAAAGCACTCAACGCGCGAAGCGACACACTTAGAGTTCGAGCAGCTAGGCGGGTTTCACATCGCATGTTCTGACGCGTGCAAGTCAGATGCTTTTCGCCCCGCCCAGACCGATTGAGCCAGAGCATGCGGCCCGGCTTTGTCAAATGCCTAAAGGTACTGCCGCACGTCTTGGGGGTTCCCACTTAAAACCAGTTTCGACCTAAAAAGGTGGACTCCCGAGAAAAGTCCCATCGCGTCGGTGTAGCTTGCGCAAAGCAGTTCCATATGCAGCCAAAGCCATCATGGCTTGCACAAAGGTTCAATGGGCACTACTCGCTTGGGATTTCTGTTGGACCCATGCTGAAAAGAAATGAGCGTGTCTCAAAACTGAGGGGCCATCCCCAAACTCATCGGTTTACTTGTGTTTGCTCCACCTCGCCCTTTTCGCGACCACCAAAAGGTACAAGCCTGGAAGAGATAACCCACGAGAAAAGGCACAAGTGGAATCCGCGGCGGTCGTCAAACTCTCTATGAGCTGTCGGGGGGCAGGTAGTTTCCTCACACGCCCAAGGGCCAAAGCAAAAACGCGTCTGAAAATGGACAATGGCTGGCAAACCGGAACTGGAAAATCAACATTGGCTGACCACAAAGCTGGCTGACACCAAAATTTATGGGGGCACAAAAACGCTTGACTCTGAACAAATCAGACGCCAATTCTCTTGGTTTCTGTTGACCCCCCTGCAAAAAGTTGAAACTTTGTGTGGGTTTAGTGGAAAAGCCCTTGATTTCCCAGAACGCTAAAGTCTAAAGATCCAACCCAATAGCAGTCAAGTCCTGGCGTCAACCGCCAAGATACTCCGCGTAGGACCCCGCCTTGGCCTCGCTGGCCGACATAAGGCCGCACAACGTCATGGCCACGCAGCCCCCGACGCCTCGCAGGCGGCAAGCTCCACTTCAACATCCAACGGGTTGGGTCTACAATACGTGGGCGCGCAAGCAAGCAACTGGGGAAGGAAAACGGAACGGGATGCGTTCACTCTTTTCACACACTTGCTTTTCTTAGTTTCATCGAAAGGGGAGGAATCGGGCTCAACGAAAGTTAGACATGTACGTCAACACAAACTTGTTGCTTGTGTGGACAAAAGAACGTACAAATGAACAATAATGCCAAAATGAAAGAACTAGTACATGTATATGTACCAACTACCATATGTACAAGTATCTCAGTGGAGTGCGTTATGCATATGCACGAGCCCTGGCTTGAACATGCGAAGAAAAGGGATGTGCTGAAGCATCGCTCGCTCACGCTAGTTCGTTCAAGCGTTTGTTGCCAAGCACAGGCTCAAGCGGTTTCAAGCGACAGGACTCTCTTTAGTCAAGGGTTCGCAACCTCCGGGAATGACAGCCCTGAGCGAGGCCAAAGCCCCAAACAAACATGACCAGTTTCAAGGCGTTGTCCGCATGGTCATGTGAGCCACGGTGACAAGGATCGCTACATGGCGGGAATCCGGGAACCCACTGAAATCAGTGCAGCAAGCGATTTTCAACCAGCTGACCCAAACAAACTCAGCGCATGAGTCAGACACATATCTACTAAAATGCGCTTCCCAAGTCCAATGCATGCCTCTCGATCCGTCCCGCCTGCGTACATGGAGTGCATCGCCTTCTTCTCCCAGTCTCAGCCGCGAAAAAAGGAGACGAGACCGCAAGCTTCCATCTACCCTCGTGTAACGCTGTCGAAGGAAAATAGCATTCCACAACCCCAAAGTCAGGTTCCATGCTGGGAGGGTGAAATACTCGCTCCGGACAAAGTTGCAAGCCGGTTGCAGGGTTTCGTCATGCTGACCCCCCCCCGCCCCGTCCCGGCAAGTTAACGCCTCTTCCACGCCACTAGGCTCACAAAGCATCCCCCTGAAAGAGCCCTTCGGCTCTAGCCAGGAGGCGATTCCAACAGGAGACATGCGCCACTCTTGGCATTTGGCAAATGATCGTTGCCCCGTATCTCGAAAAGTTGCTCAGCTTCTTGCAGGGGCCGAAGAATAACCAACCTCCACAACTGGCGACAGGGTAAAAGTTGTTGCGCTGGGCGAAGAAAGCGCCCAGCGGGGTTTGGAAAATCTTGATGTTGCTTGTGTTTTAATTGTGTTCGTAACTTTGCTCGGCCAAGTTGTCTGACCGACACATTGCAACAAGGAACCCCCGATGAATTTTGATAGGGGCCGTTCGGCTTTTCTGGGGATAGTGAAGGATCCCTTGCGCTTGCGTTCCACAAGGCCAGGCGAAGAAGCAATGGGGGCTGCCTCTCATGGGGAACGTCTTCGATTTCAGGGGAAAACCTAGAAAGGTTTTAGAACCTTCTTATTAGAATGGGGCTCTCAGAAGGACTCTGACAACCCAATGGGGCCTCAAACGAGTAGCCCTAGTTTGGCCGGCTCCAAGGGAGGAAGCATCCCATGCAAGATGCATCTCCACGCTTGCAAAGGGAGATCAAGCGCGCGCAAAACTTCAGAAGACTACTTCCTAAGACCCATGCCACAGTTCCAAGAGAGGGAATCCCGCTAAAGGACCCCTAGCTGGTGAGCCCGGTTTGCCCCCCAAAGGCGCCGAAGGCAACCCCAACCCGCCAAGTTGGCCGAGCCGCTGTGCAAGAAAGCTCCGAAGGTGCCGCACACGGCCAGGAACGCGCCTAGATGCTTAGCAGGGATCCTTACATACACCTGAACATTGCAACTTGTAAATGGTGGTCTCCCTTTATTTTGGTGGAAAAAGCAACATGTTTCAAATGGTTGCAAAATGTATCTTTTGCGGAGCCTTGCTTAGGATGGGCCCTACCAAGGGAAGCTCACCTCGCGTGGGGTCAAGGTGATGCTCACCGGCTTTTTGGATAGGCAGGAATGATCCCCACTTCCCACCGAGCGCTTCGGATGAGACGCCCCACTGCCCAGTGGTGCCCACCAAGCAAAATGCGCGGATGCCCTTGGTGGTACGTCCCTCCCTTCCGTACATGTCTCAAGTTCCGATCGCCTCGGCACACTCCCTTGCCTTTATCCGAGCTCTGGCCATGGTCCGCGAACTGAAGCACGGGCCCCAATCTGCGATACCAGAGGGGCATTTCTAGATTTCAAGCGTCACTTTGTAGGTTGAGCTGTTCAAAATAGAGGGATCCCCAATCTTAATCCATAAGCCGTATTGGGATACCATGCCAACAAGGGAAGCCACACAACAAATATGGCACAATCGTCTTTTGCGAAATGATTTTCAAGAACCCACCGACGGGGTTTGTTCCCGCCCGCGTGGCCGTCTGGGTGCATTTGAATACATTTCCACCTGACTGAAACAAGTACCGCCAAAGGAGTCTCTTACATGATTATCATCATCTGAGCCAAAGGCGAAGGCAAAATAATGCGGGGTATCATTCGCCTGCCTGGGTTCAGACAAAGTCCGGCAGTTGAATGGAGGGTCTGGTAAAACGAGTCCGGGTGCGATTTTGCAGATGAACGGAAGGAACCAACAAACACACCATGTTTAGAGGGACCTCCAAACAAGGAATGCCCTTTTTGGGTTCCATCTAAATTTGCAGGGGAGTAAGTCGTGCACATACTTGCTTTCCAAAGCCCGAGGAGGAAGCCAAACTGGGCGGCGGGCCATAGGCGATGATCATCAAACCAAAGGCTTTCGACATGGCGAAGAGACCGAAGGCCGTGACCCGCGCAAACGAAGCCACTCAAAAGCTGCGTGTTTCTCTTGAAACCATTTTGGACAAATGGTCCAGGTTTGGCTGGGATCTTTCTGTGGCAAGACTTGCAAATTTTCATGGCAATGCCGTTTCGAGCCATGGTGCAAGCTGACATGGCGGCGCCTCGAATCTTAGCGCCAAACGCGCCTCTCACACTCAAAGAAATCTTCTAACTGCAGAGCTCTTGGTGAATGGGGGTCTCACAAACGTGCCACTGGGGGAAGCGGAATCCATGTGGGTATGTGCCAAAATAAGGACGTGGGGCCCCAAAATTGTGTTCCTTTCGGTTTTTTCTAGAGGCCACACCAAAAAGGATGCCGTGCCTCAAGCAAAACAAATACGCACACACACACACATCCATGTTGAACTTTGCATCCTACACAACTTGGGCCAAGCGGTCGCTATTTCTTTGCGGTCGCACCCACCGGATCCAGGCACGAGCGCATCCTTTCAGGACGGTCACATTTGGGCGGGTCGCTTTTGCGGCTCAGGTGAAACGGCTCATGGCATTACACTTTGGGCTCAGCCACCCAAAGGCATCATGGTTGCGGAAAGCTTGGCCGGTTCCTTTCTTTGCTACTTGGTGGCTGGTTCCCATAAAAGGAGCTCTGATCGGAGACGGATGTAAAGTTGGTCGTTCCATCTAATGTTCACCTACGATGAACAAATAAATGTTCCCCAAATAAAGTTATTTTGGGGCCCCGGACTGATTACTGTAACCAATGGGTCCGAAATAAAGTTTTTGTGGCCAACCCTCTCCAAAAGCACTAGCTCCCCATCCCAGCCTCTTCAAAGCAGCCGAAGCAGCCAAGCCAATTCCAAAATTGAATTTGTAATGCTAAAATCAACTGCAAAGACTCTCCAACTCCAAATTTGCAGTTGCAATACTAAAGTCAATTGAAAAGACTCCTGCAACAAATGCAATTCTAAACTAGCATTCCCAATACTTAGCTTAGTATTGGTCTACTTTTCCAACTTTGTTTGAGGGACCTCAGTTGTTTCGGAGGGGGGGGAGGGTTATTAACCAGAGGTGGACATTATCAGATTTCCGCTGCATATACTTCACATTGATGTAGAAGCCCTTTCTGTGATACCGTTTCATGGCTATCTCCCAGAACTAGAAAGGAGTTTTCCAAGGCAATGGCAGAAGCAGCCACCTAAAATCCAGTTTCAACAACCATGAAAAGCACTGACTCGCTTTCAGATCAAGCAAGATGGCGGGAATGGAGGACCTCCTTCTCCCCTTTTCTCTTTAGCCCGTTGGCCATTGGCAAATTCAGTCCGGCGGGCAGATTTTGGAAAGGGAAGCTTAACAAGAAAAGGCTACCCTTCCTTCCACTCACCGGGGTTTATCGTCGAGTCCAGGCCCTCCACCCCCCACCCCTTCAACTGCCATTGTGAGCCTATGGCTTGCATCCAGTGCGGAGGCAACGCGTCAGGAGGCCACGGCTTGGGGCGCAGCAAGGCCTAGGCGTAAGGTACCCCTGGATGGGCATAGGCTCCAAAAGGGACGAGCCGCAAAAATGGCAAGGGTGGTCCCTCTTTATATTTTGTGTTGAGAAAACCAAGGTGAACAGGGTCCCACATGGACATGGGAAGGGTTGTCCCTCTGGTTTTTTTGGAAGAAACAAAGGTGCAAAGGGTCCCACCTTAAGACTCTGACGGAAGGTGCCTGGAAGACCAGGTTTCTCTTCAATGGACCCCTTAGAGGGTTCCATGATAGCCTTGCCCGTTGTATGGGCACGTATGTTGTGAGCGCATTATATTTGTGGTTGTTGAAAGTGAAATCAATAGGACCACCGCCATGTTTGGGGCGTCCTATTTTGACACAATTGCATTCACATGCCGTGCAACCATACAAGCGCACAGGAGATTGGAAAAGTGCAGCTAGCTGAAACATGAATCCAGTCCACTTCTGGAACCCTCAGTAGCATTGGCCCGACAAACCTTTAGCATGTACAGGAACCCTCCTTGAGGCTCAGCAGTTTTCCAGGAACTCAGCTTGAAAATCAGCAAACTTGGGCCAACCGTGCACCAAGTTTTGGTAGGGATGGCGAAAGAGACACCCTTTTGGTTGCAAACATGCAGAAACCCTGCGGATGGACAAAATCTACTTCGCAGTTGGTAGGTGGTTTGGCAAAAAAAACTAGACCACGGTTGGCCCGAAAGCATAACATCGCAAGCGAGGTCGGCCCAACGCTGCAGGATGCGTTCTTTTTCCCTCCACGAAGAATTTGTGAAGCAAGCGCGAGACAGCACCAGGCAAGGTGCTCTGCGCAAACTGGTCGGTGCAAGTTGGTCTGTGCAAGTTGCTCTGCGCAAGTTGCTCCGGCAAGTTGGTCCCTGCAAGTGGCTCCCTGCAAGTTGCTCTGTGCAAATTGCGCTCCCTGCAAGTTGCTCTGTGCAAGCTGCTCTGTGCAAGTTGCTCTGTGCAAGTTGCTCTGCGTAAGTTGCTCTGCGCAAGTTGCTGTAGGCAAGGCGCTCTGCGCAAACTGGTCGGTGCAAGTTGGTCTGCGCAAGTTGCTCTGTGCAAGTTGCTCTGCGCAAGTTGCTTTAAAATGCAAGTTGCATCTTTCGACGCCCGCCCGCGGACCAGGGAGGAATCGAACCCGCGACCCGCCGGCCCGGGAGCGGGCGCGCGAACCACGAGACAACTCCCGAGGACCAGTTCGAACAACAAAAGTCGCAAAAAACCTCGACTTTTTGCACCTCGACCACGCCGATCCCCGCAGAAGGTCGCGCGGGAACTTTAGAAATCGCAAAAAACCTCGAGTTTTTTTGCACCTCGACCACGCCGATCCCCGCAGAGGGTTGCGCGGGAACTTTAGAAATCGCAAAAAAACCTCGAGTTTTTGCACCTCGACCACGCCGATCCCCGCAGAGGGTCGCGCGGGAACTTTAGAAATCGCAAAAACCTCGAGTTTTTGCACCTCGACCACGCCGATCCCCGCAGAGGGTCGCGCGAGCACCGCAGAAATCGCAAAAAACCTCGAGTTTTTGCACCTCGACCACGCCGATCCCCCCCCCGCAGAAGGTCGCAAGCACCGCAGAAATCGCAAAAAACCTCGAGTTTTTGCACCTCGACCACGCCGATCCCCGCAGAGGGTCGCGCGAGCACCGCCAGAAATCGCAAAAAACCTCAGTTTTTGCACCTCGACCACGCCGATCCCCGCAGAGGGTCGCGCGAGCACCGCAGAAATCGCAAAAAACCTCGAGTTTTTGCACCTCGACCACGCCGATCCCCGCAGAGGGTCGATTTTCGTGTAGTGTCGTCGGCACTACCCCACCGCCCTAAGAAGAGATTTTAACTCCTCGCAAGTCAATTGCACTTGGCTCCTTGCACTTGCAACTTGCACTTGACACCTTGCACTTGCAACTTGCACTTGACTCCATGCACTTGCAACTTGCACTTGACTCCTTGCACTTGCAACTTGCACTTGGCTGCTTGCCTTGCAACTTGCACTTGACTCCATGCGCTTGGCTCCTTGCAGCTCGCAATGACTCTCATGACTCCTTGCAATGACTCCTTGCAATGACTCCTTGCAATGACTCCTTGCAATGGCTCCTTGCAATGACTCCTTGCAATGACTCCTTGCAATGACTCCTTGCAATGACTCCTTGCAATGACTCCTTGCAATGACTCCTTGCAATGACTCCTCCTTGCAATGACTCCTTGCGATGACTCCTTGCAATGACTCCTTGCAATGACTCCTTGCAATGACTCCTTGCAATGACTCCTTTGCAATGACTCCTTGCAATGACTCCTTGCAATGGCTCCTTGCAATGACTCCTAGCAATGACTCCTTGCAATGACTCCTTGCAATGACTCCTTGCAATGACTCCTTGCAATGACTCCTTGCAATGACTCCTTGCAATGACTCCTTGCAATGACTCCTTGCAATGACTCCTTGCAATGACTCCTTGCAATGACTCCTTGCAATGACTCCTTGCAATGACTCCTTGCAATGACTCCTTGCAATGACTCCTTGCATTGACTTTCATGATGATGATTCCTTGCAATGACACCTTGTAATGACTCTCATGAGAACAACTCAAGTGAACCCAGCGGAAGAACCCTTCGCCATGCTTTCGGGAAAAAACCATCAGTTATTACCCATCCCAGCTGGTGCCTAGCGTGGACTGTGTAACCATCCAAAGAATTGAACGGACTGTCGTACTCTTGGCGGCCTGGTGCAAATTCAGTGTCCAGGGATTCTTTGAGGAATTGGCTCAAGCCCGGTGGGCCCAAGCATGTGGAAAGGTTGCCCTCTTGACGAGCTCGATCTGCCCAATGAAGGTGGACAGGACGCCCGTTCTCTTTCTTCCGACACCGGTGCACTTTCATTGGCAAAAGGTCAAGAAATAGCCCTTACCAACCAAGTAAGCCGAACCTTCCCCCTTCGAAGACTACCCCAATTAACATGCTGGCCATGAAACAAAACAAACCAACCCCCCTCCCCCCCCAATTCCCGAATTCCCCAATTCGTGTCCATACTGCCCGCCCAGAATTCCCCCCAGGCGATCGCCCCGGATCCCGCCTCCCAACGGCACGCTGGACTTCCGCAACTCCGCGATGAGGTGGTAGAAGCCCTCCGGCTTCCGACAGCTGAACCTCACTCATCCATCGATCAAAAGGCGAGTCGAAGGAGAAAAAAAAAACAACCGGATCCATCCAGGGGCCGGGTCGGGGTCAAAGGAGCCAAACCTGCCCAAAGGCTCCCTTAGAGTACCTTAGAAAGAGGTCTCCCTGATCTTTTGAGGAAGACTTTTGAGGGGTCAGTTGTTGCCTTAGAAGCTACCAAAGGAGGAGCCTACCCATAGGAAGTGCAGATATCTGCCATTTCTGGTGACTGTCTTGTAGCTTCTCCGGATTTGAGATTGTGGCGAAGCAAGAAGAACAGTTCGCCCCAAACAGGAGGATGCACTTCTGGTGCTTGCTTGCCCAAAGGCGCGCACCCACCTTGTGTTCAGGTCACCACCCAAATCAATGAAGATCCAAAATGGCACTGCTTGGGCGCCGGCTTCTCTTTGGCGTTCTTGGCCTTGCGGTGCCAAGGGGCTGAGGTGTGTGGTAAGTTGCTTTTTGATCTTCCCAGGTGGCCCATCAACCTCACGCCCTCCCCCTCCTCTAATTTGTGGTTTTGGTGCTTTGGAGGTCAGGGGGTGGTTTGTCGCTCATTTGCCTTCTGCAAGAACCAGGTTTGCAATTCCCGCAACCCATCCAAACCACCAGTTGATGGTTACTCATCCAAACCACCAGTTGCTTCGCTTGGGACTGCGGGCAATGAAAGTAGATGGATTTCCGGTTCCTTGCGCCGCATCGGGGGCAGCTGTGGACAAATGCCCCAGGGCCTCATGTTACAGTCGCTCACCTTCGAAGCGGACGAAACGGATATGTTCCTATTTTTTTGCCAAAAGGGCATTAAAACCATCTCCAATTAGCACCTCTCCTAGGATGTCCTGCCGGTGTGTGGTTGACATGAAAGCGTCCCTGTCAGTTCAACGCGCCCCGGCTCTCTGCTTGCCGGCTCCTTGTGTTGCAAGCATGCCGACTGGACTGGAAGGGCTCCTGCTCTCTGACAACGCAAAATGTGTGACTGGTGCCCTAGTGCTCTTGGTAACGACGCTGATTAATCAACCACCCACTCGCCCTGGGGTCTTGGACACCAAGCAAGGGACCGCTTGGAAGGATTAATCAGGGGTCAGAAGGCAATGCGCGCACAGCCCAGCTGCAATCAGTGAGTGGTTTTTGCTTTTTCTTTTTTATTCTTAATTTGAGTCCATCTTTATCTGTTCAAAATGGGCACCCATCGGGACCCCCTTGCCCCTATCCATCCACAGTGGAACACCACTATACAAAGGAAACCACTGGTTCTTGGGGAACCCTCCAAAGAAAAAGGAACAGAGGGATCCACTAAACAATTGGGGCAATGTGGGTCTGTGTCTCCAGTAGGACACCCCAAGATGATGGCTTTCCTTGTGGGTTCCCTTCAGACTTCTGGGTACCCTCCAAAAAAAGAAGAAGGAGGAAGCCAACAAACCCATGCCCACTGCCTTCCACAGCCACGCCCGCGTCTGCCATCCTTTTCCCCGCGGACGCACCGCCTTTTGTAGGGAGTCGGCGAGCAAACAAGCGGAACCCGGGCGCTTGCGGGACGGGGCTCGGCACTCGGCCTGGATGACCAGTATAGTCACCCCACCTCTTTCCCAAAGAAACCCGGTAAGAGCACAAGAACATCTATATATATATATATATATCTATATATATATATATATATAAACATACAGATTCAGGTAAGAAAACGCATGCAAACGCCTCACATACCAAGAACCCCCCACCTCCCAAATCCCCAGTCGCTTGTTTGCTTCGGCTTCGGGCCGAACGTCTCGATCCAGCCGATTAATTGGTGGCACCCCAGCAGGACCCCGGGTACCGCTCCATCTTGGTGACGTCGTAAATGGGCCTGGCGGCTCTGATCGTGTTTGGGTTTGAGGGGAGCGCTGCGGGAAAATACCGTTGCTTTCTTCCAAAGCCGCCCAGAGGAAAAGAGGGATCCTCATGAAGCAAATCATGCAAAAACAGAGGGGAACATCGTGACACAAATCATTCCAGTCGGACCGAGTCGGACCAGTTGCACCCTTGTCATCATGAAACAAACCATTCCAGAGCCAGTTGGATGCATTGTGCGATGTTGCAAGCAAACGGAAGAAACCCTCAGGGGACTGCTATGCTTTTGTGCTTTTGGGCCGGCTCAGGCCAGCTTCGACAGAGAGAGGCGGATTTGTGTTACCAACCATCACAAAGATGAACAAACACATCTAAGGCACCAAGGGGCAGAAGGTGACGTTGATGGTTGGCTGTGCTCCGCAAATCTCAAATATTTGCTGGCGTGCCGGAAAAAAAACCAATAACGGTCTGTTGCATCCCGAAAAGCGTTTCCTGGAACGCCTATTCGATCCAAGCCGCCAAAGATTGACTGGGTCCAGCAAGCAAGCCAGCCAGCAAGGCAAGGCAAGGCAAAGCAAAGCAAGCAAGCTGTTCGTCATCAAGGGAAGCCATTTTGGGGGAACTCATCTGGAACTAAAAAAGGCGTCTCGTGCGGCTTCCCACCAAGGCCATCAATGCAAAGAAAAGTTCAGTAGCAAATGGACAACTGAGCCCGACGCCTTGTCTTGCGGCTCCCCTTGAAGAAGCAACGCCAAACAGTTGCAGGGCAACTGCAAAACATGTCCATCCCCTGATGGGTTCCCGAAAAATTGGCAAACCGTGCCGGGGGCCACATGATCGGGTGATCATCGGGCTCGGTGCGGCACAGCGCCAGTACGCGCAGCAAAGGCTCGAGCACATCTTTCGGGCCATCCAGACTCAGAGCATTGCAAGATGGCTGGCGAACGACGTTGATCGATTTACGTAGATGCAAGGGCGTCTGCCAATGGACAAAGGGATAGGACAACGCATGCAACGCCAAACGGACAAACAAGGAACCGCAAACACACAAGCAAGCAAGCAAGCAAGCAAGCAAGCAAGCAAGCAAGCAAGCAAGCAAGCAAGCAAGCAAGCAAGCAAGCAAGCAAGCAAGCAAGCAAGCAAGCAAGCAAGCAAGCAAGCAAGCAAGCAGCAAGCAAGCAAGCAAGCAAGCAAGCAAGCAAGCAAGCAAGCAAGCAAGCAAGCAAGCAAGCAAGCAAGCAAGCAAGCAAGCAAGCAAGCAAGCAAATAGTAAAATACACAGCTATTCAAACACACAGGCGCACAGGCACACACACACACACAACACATACATACCCTCACGCACACGGACACACACGAATAGGGACACAAAAACAACCACACACGGACACACCCACACACACACACAAACAGAACACACACACACACGGACACGCAAACACAGACACAAAGGGAAACAGAGAAATAGAGAGAGAGAGAGACATACACACACGCACACACACAGACAAAAACGCAAAAACCAACACGCAAACAGACACAGACAGACCGACACAAACAAAAACACAGACAACAGCACACAGACACACACACACACAGACACACACAAACACACACACAAACACACACAAACACACACAAACACACACACAAACACACAAACACACACAAACACACACACAAACACACACAAACACACACAAACACACACAAACACACACAAACACACACAAACACACACAAACACACACAAACACACACAAACACACACAAACACACACAAACACACAAACACACACACAAACACACACACAAACACACACACAAACACACACACAAACACACACACAAACACACACACACACACACACAAACACACACACAAACACACACACAAACACACACACACAAACACACACACAAACACACACACACACACACACACACACACAAACACACACACAAACACACACACAAACACACACACACAAACACACACACAAACACACACACACACACACACACACACACACACACACACACACACACACACACACACACACACAGACACAGACACAGACACAGAGACACAGAGACACAGAGAGACACAGAGACACAGACACAGAGACACAGAGACACAGAGACACAGAGACACAGACACACAGACACAGAGACACAGAGACACAGAGACACAGAGACACAGAGACACAGAGACACAGAGACACAGAGACACAGAGACACAGAGACACAGAGACACAGAGACACAGAGACACAGAGACACTGAGACACAGAGACACAGAGACACAGAGACACAGAGACACAGAGACACAGAGACACAGAGACACAGAGACACAGAGACACAGAGACACAGAGACACAGAGACACACAGAGACACACAGAGACACAGAGACACAGACACAGACACAGAAGACACAGAGACACACAGAGACACAGAGACACAGAGACACAGAGACACAGAGACACAGAGACACAGAGACACAGAGACACAGAGACACAGAGACACAGAGACACAGAGACACAGAGACACAGAGACACAGAGACACAGAGACACAGAGACACAGAGACACAGAGACACAGAGACACAGAGACACAGAGACACAGAGACACAGAGACACAGAGACACAGAGACACAGAGACACAGAGACACAGAGACACACAGACACACAGACACACAGACACACAGACACACAGACACACAGACACACAGACAGTCGAAACTTGGTGCATGGCCTCGAACCACAGGCTTAGCGGTCAGCATGACCGAGTCTCTTGATGCGACCGCCCTTTTCTCTCGTGCGTTGCTTGGGGGAGTCTGTCTGCTCCTCATTCTCATGCAATGATGCACTTGCAATGCAAAGGATTAAAGATCAAAGAACATGCCATGCACAGCTTGCTGGTGAAACTACCAAATGCCTAGAGGCAATGCTTGAGCTGCAGCCTATTGCGGATGCAACATGTGACACATGCAACAAAATGGACTGACAATGAGGCAACTGCTGTTGCCAGAATGTGCTACCTCTCGACTCAGGTTGCCTGTTCATCTGCTTTGCAGAGCACCTGCCATCAAGAGTTTGACTCAGCCTTTAAAATCTTGCGTTCGCTATGAATCTTGCGTGGATATGCCACCTGCCAGCATGATCGCATGCAAAGATCTCTAATTGCATCCCGGGACACACAGCCTTTGTTTAAGCCATCTGCCAACATGCACCTCGTGTCTACCCAAACCATGCGAGACACTTGCTGTCGTTGCAAGTATTCTTTCAGTTTCAAAGCGTGGATATACATCAGCTGATCATTCGGAGTCTTGATATCTTCAGCGGCGATGCTGTCAAACACTGCTCGAGCATCGATAATCAAATCCAAATTCAGCGCTAAACCGCCCTGCTCCAAACGATCTGCCATGGTTGAAGCATTGCTTGCACCTTCCAGCACCTCAGTGATGGCTAAGTTCAAGTTGACTGCCATTCCAACCAAATCAAGAGCCGAAAACAGTTCTGCAGTATACGTGCTACGACAGACTCGAGTTTGTTTCTTGCTGACATACTCAAGAAGCTGCATAGGCAATGTCCCTTGCTGCACACCTTGTTTGTTCGTCAAAGCCACTATGCCACTCCGCATGCGCCACGGTTGCTCCAACTTGCGGTACACAATCTTAAGCGGCTTGCTCTGCAAGTATTTGAGAATTCGATTCAAATGAATCACATGACGGCCCAAAGGCTCGCGCAAGTGTCGCTGAAGAGCTGAGACAAATACTGCAATATCAAGCCGTGTCTGCGTTGTCCACGCGACCCCGCCAAGAAGTGAACTGAAACGTGCTGCCACGTCTGCGTTCACCAACTCGTCCGGACACAACCGCGAGTCCGCGTCTGGAATTCCACGAAGTTCTTTGACATAGTGTTCCTGACTGATTGAACGAGAACCATCGGGTTCCAAAACATGGCGCAAACCTAAATGCTCAAAGTTGTCCTTCTCCAGTTTGAGCTCATCAAACTCAACCTCCAGAGACTTGATCAAATTGCGTACGGAATCATCTTCTCCCGTCATCTTCAGATCATCCACATGCACTGACACCAGCAAGATCAATTTGCCACCTTCGTGCTTGGCATAAAGTTGCTTGTCAGTCTGCAGGTGGGAAAGTCCTGCCTGCCGCAAGACACGACTCAGCGCTTTGTTCCATAGACGCGGCGCATCCTTCAATCCAAAGCCCGGCTTAAGCATCTCCAAACATTCCGTCTGCTCATCAAAGGTCTCCATGCCCGGCAAACTTCTGATCAGTTCGGCGCTACCCGGCGGGAGCCGCAACTGAACACGTCGCCTGGGCTTGCTTGGATCTTCTTCAAAGAGATCTGCAAAGGTAATGCCCCTCAAAAAAGCTTCCGAAACGTCTGCAGAGTGAAGGCTCCAGGAGTTCTGAATGGCAGCAATGACCACCAAACGCTGACCCCATCGCGATGTGGTGCCAGAAAACGCGGACACTGGTTGCGCATCAAGAAAGCCTTGAACCACCATCCGTGCCTTTATATCTCGCACGCCGCTGATTTGTTTCCACTTCAAGACCCACTTGCTGCGCAACAGATTGTCAGCGCCTCGCAAAGAGCGCCGCTCCCAAGCCTTATGCTTGTCCCAACGCATGAGCTCCTTGATCATGGAAACCCTGCATTTGTCAGCATTTTCCAGCGCCTCCTCACGGGTTAAAATGTTGTTGATTCGCTGAATGACAGGATCCGAATGCTGTTTGACATGATAGTGCAAAACGAGTTCCCAACCAGAATGCAGCTTCTGCTTGACACCGCTGATCCCATGAAAACTGCTTCTATCGAAAACAAGTTCTGCGGGCTCGTCATCATCTTCCACTTGCTGCTGATCATTCGATATCAGGAACACAGCATCTTCGGAAGTTGCAAGAGTGGGTTCCACAGGCTGAACCGAATTCCTTGGATATTCAACACCGTGGTCCCCATCCCCACTGCTCTGCGCCACGCTGCTGTCATTCCTGATCGGATCTGTTTCTGAGACATCTGCAATGGCTCGCGCGCGCCGTCGCGCAGGCGACAGTACGGTATCGGTCACACTGACTGGCAATAGTCGCGGCAGTCTGGGTTCATATGGACCTCCCAGGTTGGGCACGTCATCATGATCGCCTCGCACTTCTCGCACGCTTTCGCTGTCCATCATGAAGAACTGCACAAACGACATGTCCACTGCTCGTCCGCCTGCCAGCTGGACAAAATTCACATACTGCGCGCCCGAAACGAAAGCGTTGTACCAACACTCGCGTCTTCCAGTTTCCCACCACAGCACCAAGGAGTCATCACAGGCCACGGCTGTAAGTCCTCGTGCGTGGCGTCCAAATCGCAAACTGACCACCCCATCAAGATGCAAACAGCACGCAGAAACATATAGTCCAGCCAAAAGTACCTTGCCATAGTGCCGATTTGCTTCACAGCTAATCCAGGAACCATTTTGCTTGAACCATCCAACCCTGATCACATCAGAATTTGTTCGTTCTGCTGCAGAGTATAGGATGTCGATGGGGAGTCCGCCACATAACTGCTGTGCAAACACAGGTAAACCAGCGCACGCCTGACATCCTGCACTCGACAGGCTATTATTCTGGACTGCCACTTCACCGAAATCACCCCATCACTCAAAGAAGTGACGTCTGCAACTAGTGCTGGACCATGCCATCCGCTGTGATCCTTCGTAGTTGGTGGCCTGAAAAACTCAACCTGGTCACCAGCCGCCAAGCCTTGAAGTTCACCAGCGGGTCTGCTCTTGCTCTTCTCAGCTCGACTCGCCTTCTGCTCTGCTGTGGCTTGTATCATTGCTTCAACCGCAATCTGCCTCAACCTCCAGTGTGAAAAATCGGACTCCGGCGCTTCTTCCGATAACACATCCA